TCGAGCGGTGGCGCTCGAGCGGGTTTGTTGGCGCTCGAGCGGGTAGTACTTTCGGGGTATAAGTTCTGGGAGGGGGAAATCTACGCTCGAGCGGACTGGTTTTTGCGCTCGAGCGGGAGTGCTTTATTCTTGTGTCTTGGCGCTCGAGCGGGCCTTAATGCGCTCGTGCGTGTCCAGATTTTTGTTCTTGACGCTCGAGCGTTGTGTTTTCCGCTCGAGCGGGAGTGTCGTATAACAGAGGGCAGCTGGGCATTTTTGAATCACTTTCTACACTTCCTCTCTCTCTCTTTTACTTTCTAAAAAGATATTTTGAGAGCCTCTCTCTCTAGAAACTCCCTTCTCTCTAGGGTTTGATCTAGTTAGAGTACTTTCCTTCCCTTTGCCCTTTGTAAAGGTTGTGTTGATTGTCGAGGGCTTCATTTTGATCCGTGAATCTTGGAGTTTGGAGCCTTTTAGTTTTCTTCATCTTCTCCTCTTGGGCTCCGAATTTGAGGTAGGGATTCCTACTCACTTTTATGGTCTTTAACATAGATTTTTGGTGATTTTGATAAAGTGTTGAAGTTGGGAAATTTTGGGACTTAGGGTTTCAAAATGTCAAAGAGGGTTTTATTATTTTGATTCTAAAATGAGTATTTTGGGTTTCAAAATAGCGGTATTGATATTGGTTGTTGATATGTGGACCATTGGGTCAATATTGGAAAATGGGAGGAGAAAGCCCTAATTTGTTGTGTAAATTAATTGGTATAATTAATTTGGGAAAAGTGTTGATATTTGGAATTGAGTTGGAAATAATGAAATTGACTCATTATATAGTAGAATAGTGGAGTTGGATTTGTTAATCGCTCACTTTTGAAAACATTGATATTTTATCTGTTGGAGCTTTTATTATCTGTTTAGAAATAATTGATTGGGCTACCGGTGGAGGGTAGTTTTGATTGTTGTAGACAATGCATGATGATTAGGCAAACTAAAACTAATCAATTGGATATGTCATAGAGTATAACGGTTGATAGAATACATTAATGTTATGTATTGATTGAGTGTGTATATGACCTTTGTGTATATATGCATTGTGTGTGTGAGAGGAGGAGATAGGGGATTGTAGACACCCCATTTTTGACCGACCTTAAGACTCAGACGTCACCGATGGAGCACTTGGTGATGTTGCATAATGTGCTTGTTCAGAAGTTTCAGAGTCGCGGCTGTGAGCCCTGCCTCCGGGCTTCCGAACCCTTTTCTGTGCCTTGTCTCGGTTTGCGAACCAGACTCGGTTTTCTCTGTTTCTTTTCCTAAAGGGAGGGAGAGGTCCTGTAGACCATCTCTCAATGTCCGTAGAGCCATGTGTTTTAATGTGGGCTGTGTATTCACATTTAATTAATGAACCGAGTGTTCGAAAATTCAAGTGTTGAAACTACATGTTCAAGATGTAAGGAAAGTACTATGTCACAAGCTAAATGTTTAAGCATGGCAAGGGTGCAAAATGTAAAATATAGAAGATGAGGTAAATACCTCTCGAGCCTCGTGAGAGAGATGCTGCTCCGGCTCTCTGAGAAGCAGATCCGCGGGTGCTCTCTCGTCGAAA